TTCCAAGTTAAAAATTTGAATGGTAATTCATGTAGAGATAGTTACAGAAATGCAATTATTTCTGTGAATGTTGAAAATTGGAATTTAGAGTTTTTATATATAATTCTATTACCATATTTTGTTTTGAAGTATTCAGAAATGATTTGGATAAAGTTTACTTCTGGTAAAAATGTTACCACTATAGTGTTAAGTCAGAAGTACATTTTCCTTCACTTTCGTTTCATCATCATCCTTTACTTTTGTATTGCTTACATATAAACATTCAGCTTCACAATATGACTGTATGTTAGTTTTTTTATATATATAAAAATAATTTGAAGAACAATTGATATTGTAAATTATTTTTTTCTTTAGAAATCTGTGCTGCAGTTATTGATATTTAATTCCTCATAGAAAGTCTTAGAAAAAGGTTTGCACTTCATACTTTGGTTCTGCTGCTGTCCTGTATTTTGTAAGACTAAGAAATAAGTTTCTACATAAGCTTCAGGCTGGACTGTACTTACAATTCTCGTAAATACTCCTTCAAAGCTTGTGGCTTATCTGCTTTTTCTTCTTAGCATCATAGAGACTGTATACAGTTAAAAGGAAACAAAGGTTCGTGAATATAAATTGAATTGATGCTTTGGTCACAGCTGTCATCCCATAGGTTTTGCAAGATGAGATAAATTGTTAAACAATACCATCAGTGGAAATTAAACGTCCAATGTAAGATATTGTCCCATTATTAGGAATGCCTGTGGATTTAATTGCTATAGAGCTGAATCAAGGCAATCCTTGATACATGTATATTGAAATAGAAATAACTGCTTCCACAACATTAAAAGTAAAGTACAGGTTTGAAACCTCTCATTATGTTAAGCAAAACTCAGTGGCCAAATAATATTAATGGGGCATTATATCAATTTCTTTGGCATATTTTCCTGGCATTTTGTTTGGAAAGTTCTAGTTGAGGACTGGCTACAGTCATATCTGCAAATATTCATGAAACATAACATTACCCTTGTTTTCATATGTATAACACAAGCTGACCAAATATTTCATTTTCAGTTGCCCCTTCACCCATTTAAAGGAATTTTATGTTAGTTGTACAGTTTAGGGAAATTGCCCAGCTACATAGTGGTTGATTCAGGTCATTGCGCAGAGTTGCAGAAGACAAGTTTGTGTCAAAGATTTTTAGTTTATATGTCATCCAGTGCATTTGATCTCTTGTGACACAATATTTTTTTAAAATAATAATAAATAAATATTGATTGATGACAAAACTTTCCTTTTGTGGCAATGCCTTTGGTTGAGTTAAGATGATAAAATGATTTTACATATCTGGAAAGTTTAATCATGAACTATGAAGAATCTTCAAAGACATAATGTGACTTGCATCGCACAGGGTAGCTATGACAACAATCTTGATCAGATGATACATAATGATTGTTCATCCATCCATTCATTCCAAACTTTGTGATTCACGTGTTTGGGTAAAGAGAATACAAGTTTAGTGTTCGATTCATTGTTGAGCTTTCTAGCTGGACTGGAAAATTAATATCCATCATTGTAGTATTTTAAGGCACACTTACGAACTTGATATTCCCTTAATCTTTATATCAGTAGAGGATAGATACTACTATGTATTTGACTCCGTTTTTATGGTATTAAAGTTACTCTAACATTTGCAGAGCATGGGCAACTTACTGTTTTTCATTATTTTATTTTCAAGGTTGCCAGCCTGATGCAGATAATCGGTAAAAGCAATTTAGACCTGTCTGTGGATGAACTATTTGTACATCCATTAAAATTGTTTTGAAAGTTATCTGGGGGCATTAATTTGATGGTAAGATATATGTATTACCTGCAATACAACATGTCATGGCTGTAAGGGCCATCCAAGCTTTTGTGATTGCATGAACAAGTCCTTAATGTATATGCTTATCTATGCAGACGATTGGATTGTGACAGTTGACCAATGAGAAAAGTTCGGTAATGTGGCAATTAAAAAAAAAAAATCGTATTGAAAGTGCAATATCTAGCTTTTGTTAGTGAAGCATCTACAAATAACTTGATTTTAATGCAACAGTAGCTTGGTGAAGTTTGATAATTTGAAAGTTGATTTTTCTTTTCACAATAGATGCCACCTTTCAAAATCCACAGGATATTAGGAATGAAGGTGCTAGCTTCATATATAAGTATTTCTATCTCTTGTGTTTCTTGCACTCCACTCTCCCATAAATCTTCCCTTTGTTGCATATTTTCCTCTTTTTATAAAAAAAGAAAAAAGGTGGGTGCAGGGGTACGTACACCAAACTATTTTTACTTTTTGCTTGTGTTTTTCTGCTGCTGATAAAGTATCGTCTTGTACATTATCATATATTTATTTTTCAATGGCAAAACGGAAATCTCGCGTGTTTGATTTCTTTTTATCTTTTAAGGTACATTTCAAAGGAAACTGTCAGGTGTTGGTCAAGGGGGGGAATAGTTTTCAAAGCTTTATTAATGAAATTCGGTTTTCTTACAATGTGACCCTTAAGTGCTGATGCTTTATGGTTCATCAACAGACTTACTATACCGTAACTGTGATCATATGATAGTTCTTGACAGTGAGTGGGTGTTGATGCTGTATTGGCTTTCCAAGGGCCAAGTACAGATGCACCCAGATCTAGTATTAGCATATTGATTTTCCAAATAATACTTTTAATCAGTGTCCATTGCTGCTAGTAATACAAATCTTCACATTTGCGATTATAATTTACCAGCGTTTCTTTAAAAGCAGGCATTCTCAAAATAAATTTAGCTTCATGGCAGTGTAATAATAGTTTACTACTTTTTTCCCAGTTTATATAGTGCATAATTTTTACGATGTAAAAGATAGAGGTTAGCAATATTGGTGCCCAGTGTGACCAAATCCTACATGAGAAGCCTGACAGTCCTCATTTACAGCTGTTGCTTGCAGGATCCTCGTAATTTATTTAATGTTGTATTTATGTGTATGTATATACCATTATTTTTATGACAGCAAAGTGAAGTTGAGGAATCTAATATGATATATACAGTAAAAAGAGAAAACCTGAAATTGATGGTGTTATTTTCCTACTTATTTATAGTGCAAGAACGTTAGTATGCACGTGCTGTACTAAACTGATTTAAGTCTTTAATGGCTGACTTCATGAATCAGTAAAGGGTATGGTGGTTATAAAATTAATTGGTGCAAGTTGTTTTAAAATTGAGAAAATTTCTATGTAAAGCCAATGACCTGTGGGTGAACTGCCTAAATCCTGTCCACACGAGCAGGTATGATTGGCGGGTGCCAGTAAAGGTAATGTTCCAGGCGAGAAAACTACAAACTACTCATAGGTTCAGTTTTCTCGCTAATGGCATCTCTAGTTGTACCCGCTTCTCCAGGCCACCCTTAAGGGGCCCGTCTTATCACACCATCATGGCATGAGGACCTCCCAGTGTCGTACTCAAGAGGGATACTAGTGCCAGAGAAAAACAATGACAACATATAAAGTGATGAATTGAAAACCTTTGAAAATATATTTATTGAAAAAAATTATATACTCGCTAACATCTAAAGTCATAATCGGCGTATTCGAAATTATAGCGATTAGATGGAGCTTGGAAGCGAAATCCGACAGGCAGGGCTGCACGCTTTTCCGTAGCAGCATTTCTGCCGTTCTCTAAACATCAGATAAAGAAAACAAAAATAATAAAATTGGATCAGGCACTATCATAAACGGATAAATATTAGATTACAGTAACTGCGTATGATCAGGGTTTACTGATTATAAAATTCCTGCATGACTTACTTTTTATAGCTTGCCTAAAACATTATACAGTTTATACATTACCAAGCCAATATTGTCACATTCAACAAGAAATACACCCTTAACTGTACCGTAAATGTCCGATGTATAACCAGAAAATATGACATTGTACCTGTAAACTTGATCTATAAAAAAAAGGATCCCATTACCAGTGATAGTCAAGTTACATACAAAAAAAGAAAAAAAAAAGATACGAATGGAACTCTGGCTCTGTTTTTGGTGATGCCCAGCTAGAAGGCCCAGCTGACGTAACATCGAATAAAATTTAAGCCGCAATGCAATGCAATAAACAAAGTAACGCAGAGAATCGCAAAATCACTAGTCTGATTCTACGCACTGTTACTGTAGCTAACATTTATCCGTTTATGATAGTCTATGGTCCAATTCTATTATTTATATGCGTTTTCTTTATCATCTGATGTTTAGAGAACGGCAGAAATGCTGCTACGGAAAAGCGTGTCGCCCTGGTGGTAGTGAAAAGAGTAACGAGAGAAGGATACGACTATTCATAGTGAGGGAAGAGCAAACGGAGTAGGAAAGCTGTTCAAGAATCACACATTCAACTTTTCATACTTTCAGCACGGCTCTCACACTTCATGAAGAAGACAGGAGGATGAAGAAAAGAAAGAAAAAAGAAAGGGAGAAGAAAAGGCCATACAAATTTAACTGAGGTGAGGGCTGAGTTCCAAAGTAGAGGTTATTCGCTTCCTTGGGCCGTAGTCTCCGTCTCCTACCCCTGCTCTCCCCACGACAACGAACAAAGAATTGAGGGGAGGGGACTTTGAAAAATTAATACGGGCTAATTTACAAGAACTCAACATTATGAATAAATGATGGGGATCACGGTTTAATTTCCCCCAAAGACTCCCGCCGCTCTTTTACACATTGGATTTTTTTTTATCAGCGAGACTTTACAAAAATGCAGGAGGAAAGCTCTGCCTATAGCCTCTTATAAGTAAGGTCATGTCAGTGCTACCAAAAATTAGATAGTTCATATAAAAGATTCTAATTTTCTAAAGTAAATGTATGATCACAGACAACTGTCGAGTAAATCTCTCGCTGTTCAATAAATTTTGGGAGAAAATGGTTCTTCGTATGGGCACTGGTTTTCGAGCTTACTACATACTAAATGTGACGAGCTCCGTTTTCGAGTTTGTAAACTTCCTAAATGTGATGAAAATATTAAGTAGCCTGCTCGGTACTCTTCGTCTCTGATATGCTCACCCAACGCCATATACTGGCAGACGATGAAAAATACTTGTTACCGAGCACATATTAGCTAACACACACAGCATGAATAGTACACACATGCACATAACACACACTGGAACCAACCACAAGAAAATACAAATTGGTGTAGTATACTACCCAGCTGTTCGACAAGATTGAGCCCAGTCTGACCCTAGGTTGGCTGGAAATTCTAGATTTTCTCGTATTTCCAAGGATAACATTAAGAATCACCTTATTATGCTTGAACTGTTTATTTGTTAATACATTGAAATGAATGAAAAAATGGATATAGAAATCTTAGAATTAAAAATAATACATTAAACATGCACAAGCACAAAGCACAGGTCAATATAGCTCTAGGTGTCGGGGTGAAATGACTAGCTGCCTCCAGACACGGCGAACTGCTGGACACAAGCAAACTATCGAGAAACATTAGATGGCAATTAAAAGGAGAAGAACAATACTTAACTTATTTTGTTCCTTGCAAGGTGTATTTTAATTAAAGCATAATTATTCAAAAGGTATACCTTGGGATAGACTACAATCCCTCCCCTAGACGGAGGACAGGCAATTTTTAATGTTTTAAACAAATAATGTGCTAGGCATCAAAGGTCATATAGCATTATGGTAAAGTATTGTGATGAGAGGGGTAGTTACTAAGTTTCAATGGTCATATACTAAGTTTCAAGATAGTATGGTAGTGTGAGGGCTAGAAAAAGGGGTAGTAAATGGAGGATAGTTATTGATAGGAAGGGGAGGGATAAGGATAGAGGGTGAATAAATTGAAATGAGGATAAGCGCCTAAGGAATGAGAAAACGTTATCAAAGGAAAAGGCATGAGGTTCTGAGAAGATTTCCTATTGGTTAGGTGTCAGGGAAGTCAGTTGGTTAGGGAAGTGAGAATAAGTGAGGAAAAGCTGAGATATGGGTTGCTGTGAAGCGGAGACAGGATCGTAGGATGTGTGACTGAAAGAGGGACATTGCATGAACATAGAGGTGGATCAGATTGTGACATGATGTAAGAATGTTTGAGGCGAGTGTGTCTAATGCGTAGGCGGGTAAGAGCAGTTTCCCAGCATCTGTTTTAATGGGATGCTATCGACCAAGGAGAGATGGAAGTTATCATGTTATGTAGTTTATTAGTGGTTAGGCCAGACCAGAATGACTACGATGAAGAGGAAGGTTTTGAAGTGAAGCTGGCATATATGAAAATCTGGGATGATGGGATGTGGACAAGGTGGCGGAGTGTGCTAGTGTGCCTGGTCACTGCCGGGGATCCCAATGAGACTGGGTATCCAACAGAAACTGAGTCTTGTGATGCATGGCTAGATGGAATAGTTTGTCCTGAATCTTACGGTCAAGAGGCTTGAATGGTTGTAGATATTGTAAGAGAGATAATGAGTTTTTAGGGTTGGTGAAAATTGTAAAGGATGAGGAAATATGGCAAGACTAATGCGAAGAGGATAGCATACAATTCAGTTGTAAGGGCGCTGGGTTCGGGTGGAAATGGAAAGTTGAAAGTACAAAATTACAGCAAAACCAATGTCAGAGGTGAATTTGGAACCATCTGTAGACACGTGAGTGCTGGAGGAGTGGGTTGAGAAAATGAGTGAAAAGGATAGAAGGGAGGGTGTCTGATTTCAGTGTATCAGGGAAAACTGAGGAGCAAATATGGGAGGAAGGTATAAGCCAGGGCGGGTATTCATAGGTAGAAAAAGGTAAGAGTTGGAGGCGAGGAAATGGTAAATGGGAGAGGAGTTCATCCATCCTGACAGAGAAAGTAGATGGGCGTGGAGAGAAGGTAAAGGCTGGGAGAATGGACTGAGGGACAGTTAGTTTATATAGAAAACTGGTGAAATGTGCATAAATCTGGAAAGAGAATGGCACGGCGTCGGGATAGGGAAGGTAGGCCTAATTCAACGTATAGACTCTCAACAGGAGAGGAGCGGAAGGCACCTAGGGCTAAGCGTATACTGCAGTGATGGGTAGTATCAAGGCGAGTTAGAAGAGAGGTAGAGGCAGAGGAACAGATATGACAGCCGTAGTCAAGAATGGAAGGATCAATGAAGTATGGAGATGGAGGTTGGTTTTGCGGTCTGACCCTCAGGATATAGAGAGGACCTGTAGGAGTCGGAGGTGGCGGCAGGTTTTCTCTTTGATATAGAGGATGTAGTCTCACCAAGTCAAAAATGACTAAGGAATTTGTCAGAGGAGTGGAAGTGGAGAGGAAAAAAAGCATGGAGAAGGATTTAGATGTGGAAAAGTGAGTCATGGTCTGTGGCCCAGGAAGAGGTTAGATATTGCAGTTTGTATTTGTTGAGAGAGTAGGTATAGATGGACCTAATTTATAAATATCTATATACAGAGAGGATCGGATACCTGGCGGTAGAACCGTTATCAAACAGTTTACGGTTATTAGGAATGGTGTAGTGCTTAATACACATCCTTGTGGGAGACCTTCATATTGAGGAAAGGATTAAGCTGACGAGGAAAATTTTACTTGGAAGGTACGACTAGCTAGGAATGATTTAATGAATACACCCATACTCCCTCTAAAAAGAAAACTAAGTAATGATGTGCGAAGGAAAAAATGTAATTCTCAAAATGCGTAAGTGGATAAGCTGTGCTTCGAGCGCGGCGGAATCCACATTGGCATGGTGAGAGAAGGCTGTGGGATTGTAGATACCACATTAAAAGTAGGTTTACCATTCTAATAATTTTCACAAGAAGCTACTCTGGGGTATGGGTTAGTAGTCTTGAAGGAGGGTGCTGGATTTATTAGGTTTAAGAAAAGGTAAAATAAGTGCTTCACGCCAGTGAGGAGGAAAATTTCCAGTTATCCAAATATTGTTGTTAGTAAGAAGGATAAGGAGGAAGGTGGAAGATGTAGCATACGGTATTGTATGCCATAGCGCTTTCATGCGTGTTGCGGCATGAGTGTATGGCAGAAATAAGTTCAGTAGAGAAGGGGGCATTGTAAGGCTCAGTAGACATCACGAAGGATATGGGAGTGCTGTCCTTGCCTGTCTTGATGATATAGAAGGGTGTTATGGATATGGAGGACTGGCAGGATAAGGAGGATGTTTCCTAGATAGTTTATGGACTCTACGCCATAATGCAGAGACTGGTGTAGAGGTGATTGTGGAAATGTAATTTTGTCTGCTGGTTTTCAGTTTTGGATAGTGCGGTGTAGTTGAGTTGCTGTTTTTCTAAAGTCTATTAAGACTGACGTTTGGTTGGGGGCATTTCCCTTAAAATGATAACTACTCCAAACTGCTCACTTCTTCTGAAGCACTATGAAGAATTCGGTGTTCCACCATGGAACGCATTTAGATGTGTATAGCCTAGATGTTCTTGGAATGGCTATAAAGGCAGAACTCAGGACAGCCATTGTGAAATAAGAAAGCATGTCTGATGTGAAAGAAAAGGATGGAGGAAGAGGGAGAGTGGAGAGAGAGGTAAAAGTATGCCAATCTCCTCTATTAAAGCACCAGCGTGGGGGTTGTGGAACATGAGAAGTAGGAGAGAGAAGGATAGGATAGTGATCGCTGTAAGGAAGGTGGTCTAGAACTGAGCAAGAGGGCAGGCAAGGGTGAACAGTAAATCTAACAATAGCACTTTGCAAGCAATAGTACAATGCATGATCTCGGATCATGTACTTCACTCTTTCAAGTACTGCTGATTTTCGTCTTGGGGAACACACCTGGAATTCTGTATTTGTTTTCTGGACAGTGATCAACAACTAGCAGGCAACCACCTGGGTCAGATGACTTCTTCCTGGCAAGAATTGGGCAAGCTGCCCTTAGGACAACCCTCCGAGTAGCTCACGGTTGAGACATGGGGGCGAGACGGGGTGATGAATGGAGGCAAGCTGTACGCCGATAGGTAGCGGCCGCCGACGTCAAGGACTTGTGGTGACACCTTGGCTCAGTCACTTGCAGTCATGCACCAAAGTTCTTGCAGTGATGTACCTGCAAAATCCAAATTCGCTATAACAAAATGACAAAACTATAACAAGTAAAATCAAACTTAAGTCTTAAATATCCAGACAGAAATGAATTTATAATAAAAGAAAATATCTAATGACAAAAAGCTATGTAAACAAAAGAACAAATTACATGACAAAAAAGAAATGGGACAACAATAGGGTGGTAAGTGAATAATAAAATTAAAACTAATAATAAAATGAAAGTTAATATGAGCCGTGAAATCAAGAATTAAACAAATAATAAAAGTAAAACTAAATGAATAAGGTATCTGTTAGCAAGAGCCTCACATCCTCCAGAGACAAAATCCCAAAAAATATATTTGGGTATCATGCGAACCCAAAAATCCAAACCTAACCTTTCCGTTAATTTTTAAAATTTATTCACATGACCGATCATGATTTATGTGCCGATGGATTTCTCTCACTTCTATAAAATGTATAGAAATTATGCTGTGGAAACCACCCCATTAACGACAACCTTGGTCGCGGTTGTAGGGGTAGGCTACGGAATGGGGGTGCACGAATTGCAGAATGGTAGAAGGGAATTTGCTGGGTAAAATATGAGTAATATGCAAAGAATTAGTTATGTAAGGGGCTGTGTGTCCGGTGACCCCAATCACCATGAGGACACTATATTGTTTTGAAGAATAACCCGGAATCGACGCAACACAAAATAAGAAGCATTTCTTACTAGTGTTTGGCAAGGAATGGCGTCTCAGTGCTGTTAAATATTCCAGTGGCAAAAACGCGCGTGCAGGTTTTCGCACAGAGCAGCGTAAGCAATTATTAAAGCACCAAACAAATGGTTATTTTTTCCATTACCGCAATTGGCATTTCGGGAGAGGTTGAAGACCGCGACGCGCGTTGATAGAGGAAAATGGACACCGCCATCTTATAGAGCGCGAAAAATAGAAGGGGATAGCGTATAGTTTAAGATGCACCGGCCTTATAGTCACCGCTAAATGCCGAAAATATAACGCGCGGCCGCCTTTCAAATTCAAAGTCGATGAGCTTGTTTACCTTGCTAGGAAAAACACGACACTGACCCACGAACGCATTTTTGCGTTCGCGAACTAGTCCGTGTATCATTACGCGCTTGTCAAAACGATATTAGGTTAATTATAAGGCAAAACAGGCTTAAATAACAATAGAAAACAAAAATGCGTAAAACCAGCACAAAAAAACTTAAATTCGGCCAATGAATCTCTACGGGCACGCCATCTTTGAAATCCATCCCACCTTTCGATAAAATCTACGGGAATTCGCACGTTTCAAACCCAAAAACTCGTACTGACCAATAAACAAACATAATCTAACAATTTAAGTTGCCGTGGCTAGGTGTGCCCATTGGACACTGCCTGAGGTGAGGGTTGATGGGGGCTCTGTCCCCAAACACCCCCGGGAAACATTCACTTCACCTCGGTATGTACGGCAAGATAGAAGTGCATTCACATAAAAAATAAACCAAATACCTTTTAATCTTGAAACTTTCGTTCGCTTCTTTCTACGGTCTGGATTGCTTCGTTTTTACTCACTTTTTCGGCATTTGGGGCTCTTTATGGGCCGAGATATCAAACTGGTACGGTTACTTGTCTATTTCTTCTTGGATGCCACTGTATAGTCTTAAGAATAACCCAGAATCAAAACAACACTGGAAACGCTACGTTTCTCACTGGCTTTCTGTTGCAGAATGGCTGGTGAGCTGTCAGTGTGAAATGCACGATGCGTAGATCTTTCTAAAGAACTGTATAATTAAATCTTAAAACACGAAAATGAAGTATAACATTTAGGAATAATTTATTCACAGCGACGCGCGTAGATAGAGGGAAATGGACACCGCCATCTTTTAGAATGGGAAAAATAGAAGGGGATATTTTCGTCATTTTGCGGTGAACATTAGACCACTGCAATTTACACTTTCTTGTTTCTGTGTATTTCCCCCTTTATTAGCAGTTTGTGCCGATAGCCACAACAGTTTTGTTACAGAAAATATTTGTGAAACATACCTTCGTGTAGGGTACAGAGGAGCTGCGGCGGAGGAATTATAGAAAATGCGACATTATGAGCACTGGCTGTGTGAGGGATAAAATCTGAGCGGTGATATGCAGGAATTATTTTCATCACTTTGCTGTAAATATGCAACCACAGCAGCTGTGCCCATATTATTCATGGCTATTTCGTAAGGTCTATTAGATGGCATTGTCCATTTCTCTCTATCTCTGTGCGTCGCTTTCGGTAACATTGGCCAGTAAGAGTATACAAATCAAAGAATGAATTTTAACAGTAACTCGTACAACGCACACACACAGCACATGTAAACACCTCTGGGTTTTGGGGTGAACTGATTATGCCTGGCTTCCAGCGCACGGCGAGCTGCTGGACACTGGCAAACGAGCGGGAAACAAGGTAGTTTACATGGTAGTTCAAGGTAGAGGAGCAATGTATTAAAATAGTGCGCCCTTGGCAAAATGCATAATAATTACAGATGTTTTTTTTTTTTTTTTTACAAGGCGTATCTCGGGGTACACTACAATGGTCTACCGGTCACCAGGGCACACTGCCTCAACACCTTAAGATCAAACAACACTCGAGGCACGATAATTTGGCAGTGTTCAATTTATAAATATATAAAATAATGTCATGATAGAAAAGAACGTATGTTGCTTTTTCACATCAGTTATTTTTTGAAGAGTAGAAATAGGATTAGTAGTAGTGTGGTGGTGGTGACGATAGTATCGTTAATGATAATAATTATAATAATGGCAGTGATGATAATAAAAACAAGAAAATTATATAATATGATCATTATAACGATGGTAATAATATACCTTTTGGCCTGAAAACATCCGAATAAAAAAAAATTGTGACGACTATCTCAGACGATCTGCGCGATCGTCCTGCACTCTCGCACGCAACCACAAGCACAATACGAAATTACGCTTCCAAATAATGTTGATGATGAACTTCGGATACGCGATACTGTGACCATTAGAATGATATGGACTTTACCTCTTTTCTCCCCTAAACCCCCTTTGCCTGTATTCACCACTTCGCTTCCTTTGTTTCTCCCTTTCTCTTGCCTCTTTCTGTCTCTTTTCTCCTTATTCCCCTTTGCCTCTCCCCCTCCTCTTCTTTCCTCCCTCCACATCTACTTTTTGTTATTTTCATACTTTTTTTCTTCCTTATCTCCCTCTCTCTTACTTCACTCTTCCGCCTTACCTCTTTTTATCTCTTCTTCCTTGCCTCCTTTTGCCTCTTCCTACTTCCCACTCTCCTGACAGTTACATACGTAGAAGTGACATCAAATACACCTTTAAAAAATATTTTTTTTTTCTAATTTTCATAAGAGATTGCTACTGATACGTCAACGGTTTACAGAGGATTGTAACCATTGTTATTGTGATTTATCCTGTGAATGGGTACACAGTAGATTATGTATTAGACACGAAGTAGATTTGCAACATTCTGACCATGATGAACAAGGATGAGCTAAGCCAAAATTCAACTTATTTTTCACATTGCTGGACTAAAACAAAAAAATAATTCGTGGAGTTCAATATATATGCATAACTATTATAACCCTTTAATGGGTGGTATTTTGGCACGAAAAGAAGGTAAACAGATCTTCTTAAAAGGGCTTATATATCCCCCCCAGGATGCATTTTTAGATATATTTGGCATCCCATTCTAATACCCTGGAGGTATTAAGGGCACCGATTTAGCTTGTGTTTACTTGCTTCTAATAAGAGTTTTCTTGTGCATTGCCATTTATTTTGTATCTTTAAAGAATAACCTCATTTTAAGGATTCAGATCTTTTCGTAACAGTCAAGGATATCATAGCCATGTGCTTAATTTCGTTCAGTTTATTTCAAACATTCACATCTTTATACTGGGAGGCAGTGATGAGCTTTGTGAGCAATACCTATTTTGCGGATATATTTTACAGAGACTGATTAAATTAGTTAATATGGAGGTTGATTGACAAAATCCCTATTACTATAAAGCCAAAAAATAAATAATCACTGAAAAAAGAAATAAGGGTGTTTGTATAATACTAAATCTGAAATAACCATTTTTTTTAATGACTAAAAAATATGCTTAACTATATTGTTCTTGTAATAAAACTATGCTCTCATGACGTGGTTGATCCATGGGATGTATTTGGAAACGTCCATGTAAACTGCAGGCTTCCCAGGCAGTGCACAACCCTCACGCCATGACATGACACCTGATATGACCTCTCCTTCTGGGGTGTGGCACATCAGGGGTCCGCCGTTATCACCCTGTGGGGGAATGGAGAGGTAGGAATTGGTGATTATTTATATAAATTATTATTATTACCATTAGAATTATTATTATTTATTCAATTATTATTATTGTCTTTTTTTAGTCTTGTGGGACCAACATGTGTGATGTGTTGAAGAGGCAATAGTCATTCAAGAAGCTAAGTAGGTGCACTTTGTGTTTTTTTTTTTATTATTCAATTCTAAATCACGCTAAACTGTTTCACTTAAAAAAAACTTTCAACGCACACGAACCGAAGGAAAATAAACAAGGATAAAAAAATCTGACGTACCACACACGCCCCAATGCCCTTCTCTCCGGCACAGATCACGTTGTCCCCTAAGCTAGCGTTGTAGGCTCCCTTGCACTTCTCCTTCTCCAACAAGGGAACTTCGCTGATTTTGACGACGTTGGGGCCTGGGGTGCCTTCGTCAGTAGCGCCCCAGCCTCCTTCGCGACACAGACCTAGGAAAGGGATAAACTTTGTAACATTGGGTGGTTTAAGGATCGTCTTACCTATGGGTTAAAGACTGACTTTGTTATTCTATGACTTGGAATGATTCAGTTGATAATGATAATGACTAGATAATGATAATGAGAGAGAGAGAGAGAGAGAGAGAGAGAGAGAGAGAGAGAGAGAGAGAGAGAGAGAGAGAGAGAGAGAGAGAGAGAGAGAGAGAGAGAGAGAGAGAGAGAAGACAGAAATAGACATTTACAAAACCAACAAAAAGAAAAATCGTACGCATGACTCCTTTTCATTCACCTTACACCCTTTCCTTTTTCACGTGTTAATACCTACCGGTCGAGATTTCGAAGACGTTGGAGGGAAGCTCAGCGAAGGACACGACCTCCCGCACCTTCACCGCCTCCGACAGGTGTATCAGGGCGATGTCATTGTCCATAGGTCGGTTCCAACTAAAGGGAGAAAGGGAGAATGAGAATTTATCCAAAGAAGATCTACCTGATAGAGAAGGAGAGGATGTGACAGAGAGACAGATTGGTAGATACACTGAGAGAGAGAGAGAGAGAGAGAGAGAGAGAGAGAGAGAGAGAGAGAGAGAGAGAGAGAGAGAGAGAGAGAAGAGAGAGAAGAGAGAGAGAGAGAGAGAGAGAGAGAGGGGGGGAGGAAAGGGTAGCAGAGCCTTAGATTGAAATAGATAGATAGAGATATGAGATTGAATGACAGAGAAAATATAACAGCGAGAAGAAAATACTCAATTTTTATGGTTTGTTAGCAGGAAATTAACCACTCGCTGCTGAATTCTCCACAAACACCGATTCCTGACCTCGTATACTTACTGGGTGTAATTCGGGTGTTTAATGACCTCCTTAACCGTGACCTTTTGCTCGGTGCCTTCTTCCTTGTCCATATCGTGCTCACCCAACACCACCTGCCGTGAAATAGGCCTACATTACCCACCATTTTATCACACGTTTCGCCAACAACAAACCAGCTGAGAGACACCGCATAGACACAAACATTCACTTTAAATCAACCGCAACACATACAAATAATATCAAAAGAACAAGAGAAGAGAAACTTACCACTAGTTCTTGGATTCTTTCGCTATCTAGACAATGTGCAGCTGTGAGGACCCAGGCTGGAGCGATCAGGGTTCCGCCACACAGATGCACGTACACTTTCTCGAAGTTTGTGACTTGTAGGCTTACCAACCATGGGAATTCTCCTGTGAATAGCATTATAGGCAGCAAGTGTTACCATAAAAATAGTAGCTTTAAAGTGCGTAATTTGTAAAAGCTAATGAATGCAATTTTTTAGAAATCTTATATAGAGCCCTATTTTTTTAAAACCAGGTAAACATTATTTCTACAAAAGCATGATTCTTCGCTTCAAGTTCTCATTCAGTATCTATCTATCTATCTATTATATATACAACTCAGGAGAACTTACCAGGTGTAGCGGCGAGATGCATCGAGCCGGGAGGTCCAGGTGGAGGAGGAACAATTTCTGCAATATTAATAATTTCATTACCGCCTTGCATAACAAAATCTCAAGGCAATATTGGATTTTTCTCTTTCCTTCCTATCTTTCTTTCTTTCTTCTCTCTCTCTCTCTGCGAATGGTAACCCCGGCCATTCCTTGCACACGGGGAGATTTAGAAGGCAAAATAAAACAGACAGTATGCCACAGCAATTGATATCCATTGTAATACATGGGATTGAAACTAAATTTTAAAATCTCAATCTCTCTCTCTCTCTCTCTCTCTCTCTCTCTCTCTCTCTCTCTCTCTCTCTCTCTCTCTCTCTCTCTCTCTCACACACACCACACACACACACACACACACACACACACACACACACACACACACACACAACAACACACATGCTTACCAGGTGTAGGGGCGAGATGCAATGCGCTGGGTCCAGGTGGAGGAGGAGCAATTTCTGCAATATCAATAATTTCATTACCGCCTTGTATAACAAAATCTCGGGGCAATACTGGAATTTTTTCTCTCTCCTTCCTATCTCTCTTTCTTTCTTTCTTTTTCTCTCTCTCTCTGTCTCTCTCTCTCTCTCTCTCTCTCTCTCTCTCTCTCTCTCTCTCTTCTCTCTCTCTCATACACACACACACACACACACACACACACACACACACACACACACACACACACACACACACACACACACACACACACACACACCGAAAACGACGCCCATATTTCCCTTACCTACAGGAGGAGCCCGAAACGCGTACAGACCACCGTCATCGTCGTGCCCGAGGTTGCAACCTGGAATTAGTAATTTATTTTTATGATTTTCAATTCTCTAAGAGTGCGGGAAGGTCTAATGTTAGTGTTATATGATAGAGATGAGGATCTTTTGTGTTAAAAGGAAGTTAGAGTGCATATTGTTATTATTGAAGGATGGTAGAACATTCTAGCGTGTTAATGCTATGGTTGAAAAAAATGCACAATCTAGATTTATTGAAAATTCTTCTGGATTTCATCTTCAACAGGATTTCGAAATGGTTGTCTCATTTTCAATAAATATGGTTAGCGCAATGTGGATTTTTCAATCATTGTTAACAAAATTTACTTGAGGTTATCTTTCTCATTATCTTTACGCAACATGTTTACACAAGAGGAAGAATGAAAACGATTCATTACTTTTCATATTTTTCGACGGCTCTCACCATTTAACAAAATGCCAACTAAATTTGCCTCAATGTCTAGACATATATTCAAATTATTATACTACTAAAGAAAAAAACACACACAAAAAGAACGAAAAACAACATGCCTTTTAATCTTTTAAAGTCACCTGAATGGCAGTCCAGCAACTTCGAGACGATGCTCTTCAGCTCGCTAATGGCTTCCCGGTTGGCCTCCACCGACGCGCGCAGGTCGTCCGAGAGCAGCACCGGGGACGCCGTTCGAGTCGGTCTGATGGACACCAGGAAACTGGGCAGCAGGAGGGGGTTCTGGATGGTCTGCTGGGGCGCCAGGGGGCTCAGCAGCGGCCCGTAAGGATTCATGTTCTTCGAAGTGTTGGGACGGCCAGGCGAAGGCGGCGACGGCGGAGACGAAAGTGCTATCCAAGAGGGTGTCCGAGAGTGACTGCGGCGAAGGGCGTTGCTGGCCTGGCTATATCGGCACCTCCCTCACTCTTGGTGCACAGGAACTAACATCCGCATGACCCCAGCGATATTTCACAGTTCAGTGTCATTATTCTGTGATCTACACTCGTTATAATTTATGAACTTTCACTCGCAGCTTGTTATCTGTTGTTTTTTTAGCCCCTAGAAGCACAACCGCCCCCTGGTGATGCTTCAGAATTTCCAGAATATTCCTATCGCTTATCCAAAACATGGTGTAAGAGGAAGTCAAAGGAATTTCCGAGGTTTTGTCTTCCTATTTCCCTATCTGTGCGCCCTCCTCTGAGAAGGATAAGTGTAGGCCCCGATAGGCATAACACATCATGAATTTTATCCTCACTTCCTTACCTTAGCCTTTGGATTTGTTCTTTCGCTGCCTTATCTTATAAAATTTCACCCTCCACTAAAGTACCGTGCAGTACTTGCAACACAGAGAAAGATATAGAAAAGCTATTGTCATTAAATCCACCTAGTTAAAACAAACAAACAAACAAATATGAATAAAAGATAAAACATCCCTGGAAGCTACCAAGTTCAAACAACAGAACGACAGGTTTAGCTCTTTA